TTCTGCTTTTGGGGTGTGTTACAGCCCATTTTGGTAAATTATAAAATCATTATAATTTTATAGAATTTGAGGTAATTCTGTGGAGTAGTGCTTGGATTTATTGGAAGAAGTGAAATATTTTGTATTTGATTGGAAAAATTAATTTTTGGTTATTGTTGAAGAAGTCAATTCATTCCTTGGTGGAATTCATGTCGAGGTGGAAATTGTTAGAATTTGGGTGTGACTCGAATTCCTTGTTAAAGTAATTGAAAAATTCTAATTGAAGTGCACGTCATGAAGAATTCAAATTTGCAATACTATGGGAGTCCTATATTAAGTTGAAGTTCTATTTTGAAAACCCATTAAGAGTTGGAATTTGTTTTGGACTCAATTTTTGATATTATACTTCATCAATAACTCTACTAAGAGAGTTTGGACGTACCTTACATATTTTCTATAAATATTAGGTTATTCTATACAATTTTATGGTGTGAGAAAATAGATTATTAGAATTATAAGATCTATTATAATTCTCTCTCACTTCTTCATTATTTTTGAGTCAATGAAATCTTTTAATTTGTCTGCCATATTTTTGTTTTTATTATTCTTTTACTTAATCATATACTTCATTATTATTTGCCATATAACTTCAACATCTCAATCCGGTGATTTGTTTCACAACAATTGGTATCAGAGCTATTCTGCTGTCTTATTTGTTTTACAACATGTGCAATTGGCTTATAATTAATTTTAATTGATAAATGAATTCATAGACAATCCAAAGAAAAATTATAAAATGACGCTACAAGTCTTGCGATATTATCTCGAAAAAATTAAACGTAGTAGAAGTTATATTATTTAAACAAATTTAAAGTGGATAGGACGATACAATATAAAATGAAAGACGTATCTCTAGATGAAGAACATAGGCTAAATTGCCACTATATTTCGATGAATATAATGAAAATTGATTCAGAAATATTCGTCGATTATGAAAATGACGAGACTAATATCAATATTAAACTTAAATGAAGAGGTCAATCTAAACCTCCTTATTGAGGGAATTAGAAATGGCATGAAAAGTCTATTAATGATGAGACACGGAGTAAGAAAATAAAATCATATAGGTGGTTTAGCTACACAATGATTTTTTATTTATTTTTTTGGTTGGATCACATTATTGTTGTCATATATATATATATATATCAGAAATGATCTAATGAGCACCGGTGCTCATCTTATCCTAAGCACCGATGAGTTGGCACATTAATTCATTGGTGGATAAAGATTTTGTGAGTTCCAATCCACCAATGAATTAATGTGCCAACTCATTGGTGTTTAGGATAAGATGAGCACCGGTGCTCATTAGATCATTTCTGTATATAT